TGGTATAAAAGTGCTTTGATGAAGGATGAGCTTTCTGAAGTACAGCATACATTGTATAATGCGTAAAACATGCATGTGTATTTTTGAGATATTAAAAAGGAGTCTCTTTGATCAGTACTTTTTTCTTCCTCTCCGTCATACGGAAGGTTCGTTTTACGTCTGACTTTTCCTTTTGGAGATTGGACACATTGACAATTCTCGGTGTGGCTCAGAGTAATGAATTTTAAAGGCAAGGAAGGGTGATCCGGGGCGAAAGGATGAATCTAAAATCCTGTTAACTCGGATCCTGTGTAGACAGTCTCCCCTAAGTCAATATTTAAAGAAGATGGGAGACTGGACGGATAGGAGACCACTRTTGTGGGATTTAAATGTACTTTTACTCCAGAGTAAAAAATAAAACCACTGGAATGTGGTTCAGGTTCTTGTTTCATATGCTACAACTGTGAGTCAAGGAAATGTACCAGTTTTCCTCCGCTGACTCCAGCTTGGATGCCTTTCCACTCTCTGTACAGGTTGATTCATTGCAAGTACAAAAGTAATGACRATAATGGCATCCATTTAAGGCGCACTTACCATGTGCCAGACCCTGTACTCAGAGCTTTATGTGCATCGTCTTGGGGACCAGTTGGTTTATGGGAGTGTGTGCCAGTACTGCTTCCCCGGGATTTTGTGTGTTCCTCATTCTTTTCTCCTAGTGTGTGACAAAGCCTTGGAGCATGAATCCGATTGTTTTCCTCTGGCCCCTGTCCTCGTGGATTGGGGCCCCTGTGCATCCTTTCTTCCCCGTCTCTCTTGGTAGAGCGATGCTCCCATTCCATCCCGTCTGCTCCTTCCTCTGGGGTGTGACATCTCTCATATCTTTTATTTCTCCACCCTGTGGCTGCTGCCTAGTGATGGAGTTCTACTCCTTTTTTTTTTTTTTTTTTTTTTTTAAGCTTTGGAGGATTTCCATTTCTTTCTTATGAGCTTAGCCAATTTATTTAAAAGTTGATTTTGCTGGTTTTATTCATCTTTGGAAGGCTTTTTTTTTTTTTTTTGATGGAGAAAGGGGCACCATGGTGGACAGTTGCCATATTATGAGACATCCTATTCCTTAATTAATGAACGAAGTTGATGAATAATCTGTTGTTTTCTCCTGTCACATGTCAGAACCATGCAAGACATTGCTACTTAGTTTGTTGGGCGTTTGGGGGCMATCTTGAAAACAGATTCCACTGTAGAATTCGGGGAGGCTTTGTAGCTTGGATCCATTGAAGAGCCAGAGTCATAATTTCACAGGAAATTGTTCTGCCAGGTGTGCACAGGATGGCATGGAGGCTTAGACATTGCCCTGAGCCCCTTCCCTCTGGTACACACACACTCACACCCACCAGACCAGACTGGAGTTCCTGGACAGCATTGCCCGGGACAGTCCCCCACCACGTCAGGGAATCGGCAGAGCTGGTRTCAGCCACAGGTGTTCTCTCTCCTGTTGTCTGAAACATGCTAAACTTGCTTATTTTACTGCCATTTGAGAGCAGATTTATTTTTCCTTTTAAAAACTCTCCTGTCCATAGCCTATTTTAGTCCCCTTGTTGTACTCGGCTTTTACCCTGATAGAATCAGTGTTGGACCTGTGTTGCCTGCAAACCTGATTTCCCTGTCTCCCTTGGCCGGCCATTGATGGCCTTTTCCTTAGTTTCACACTTATCCCCACCCTCCTCCCTTTCAGTTGTTGTAGATGAACCTGATAAGCAGTGCTGTGTCATCAGAGTGGCCTTGTGTCATCAGAGTGGCCTTGTGTTTTTACCGGGTGTCTAGCTGGTGAGTGTAGAGGTGGATGGAAACAAGTAGGTGCCCAACTGGTTCTTGACAAAGGAGAGGAAGCTGAGGCGACACCTCCTCCCAGGGGGAGTGGCTGCCAGTTCAGGGTTTTCTCTGGGCCTCTCGACCAGTAGAACTTGGGACCTGGATATCAAATGATGGTGGGGCCCATGCCTGGTATGTGGCATATTACCATCAACTTGGTGGCATAATYACTCTCTCAGGGTCTGGAGTCGGGAAGTCCAAAATCACCGCATTGGGCCAAAACYAAGATGTGCACAGGACCACGCTCTGCGGAGACTTCAGGGGGACGTAGACTTTGCCCTCTCAGCTTCCGGCGGCAACTGGCATTTCTGGGCTGGTGGCCACACCAGTCTTTGTCYCTGTCTTCAAATGGCCTTCTCCTCTATTTGTACAAAATCTCCCTCTGCCTCTATTTTGTAAGGACACTTGTGAGGACATGTAGAAAGAACCCACCCGGGGAATCCAATTTAATCTTATCTGGAAGTCCTTCACTGAAACCCGCATCTGCAAGACCTCTTTTCCCAAATAAAGTCCCACTGATAGGTTCCAGGGATTAGCACTTCCTATCTTTGGATGGCCATTATTCAACCYAGTACAGGCAATTAACGAGCTAAATAAATTATCCTGACAATAATTGTGTGCTCTGTTAAAAAAGGTGGATCGTATTCCCGCCTGGCGTAGTACTTTGTAAGATTTCATTGCCAAGGGGTCTAATTTTTAAAACATTGCAACACAGAGTCAAGCAGAGACAGAACTTAATTGTACTCTTCAGCATCTTTCTCTCCACCCCCCTAAGATGATGGCAAAATATACTTGTGTGTGTGTGTGGTGTGTGGGGGGCTACAGGAAGAAGTGAAGTTTATGAGGCTTCTTTTATCTAGCATTCATGCAGCGAGCTGGGGCCCATCTGTGGCTCGAGTGTCACTTTAACTTCTGTGGGCTGGAAGTGTTGGCCTCGGGGACTTGGGGTGTTGCAGGTGCCCCCCTGAGTGGTGCATGCAGAGAGGGGCTCCCTAGCTAATTTGTTTCCCTCTGCTGATTGTCCTTGGCCTTGGCTGTTTTTAGGTCTTTGGATTAAGGGCCTGGGGTTCCCTATTAAGATGAAACTTTGTTCTCYAGAAGAGATAACAGGCGAAGCTGTTGACAGCTGTTTTTGCTCTGTTGGATCCAAGCTGTTRGTCACCTATTGTGTACTGTGCCGAAAGGGGACTGGGCTCCTGGGCCCTGTGTGAAAGTGGCTAGTGCTGTGCATCTTGAAATGCCTGTGTGCAGGGCAGTGGGCAAACAGGTGGCAAGAGGACCTGGAGGATGACGGACGTGTCCCGGGGGAGCACGAGACCCTCCCCTGCAGACAGCCTGGAGACCCAGTGGGTCCACGGTGGTGCTGACTGTGGAGAGGTGGGGTGCTCMTGGGGCCGCAGAGAGCCCCCAAGTGTTTCAGCCTGAAATCAGGTTCCAGGCCCAYGGATTTCCAGGCAGAGGGCAGGGTGAGTTCAGGAGGCCAGGATGGGTCACCGGAAAGAGGAAGGACATCGATGTGCTAGTCCAGGCTGACGGTGGTGGCCAAACTTTATTAACTTATTTGACTTAAAGTTTGCCTCTGATTTGTACTCTATTTTTTTTTCCATTTTCTTTTTAAAAAGTCTATTTGACAGCTTTATCAAGATTTAATTAACAGGTAAAAGTGCATATATTTCCCKCGAGTCGTGTGATGCTTTGATATGTGTAGACATTGTGAAGTGGTTACCACAATCAAACTTATGAACATGACCTTCACCTCATATCATCATCATCATCATCATTTGTGTGTGTGTGTGTGTTGAGAACATTTGAAACCTACTCTTTTAGCAGTATGAAGTATGCAATAGACACAGGGACCCTGGGCATCCCTGGATACAATGGCTCCAGAGTTCTCTTAGACATAGTGGCCCCGGGTGTCCCTTGAACAGAGACCCTGGGCATTCCTTAGACACAATGGTCCTGGGGGTCCCTTGGACACAGGGACCCTGGGCGTCCTTTGGACACAAGGGCCCTGGCTGTCCCTTGGATGCAGTGGCCCTAGGATTCCCTTAGACACAGTGGCCTTGGGCGTCCCTTGGATGCAGTGGCCCTGGGAGTCTCTTGGATGCAGGGTCCCTGAGGGTTCTTTGGACGCAGTGGCCCTGAGGGTCCCTTGGACGCAGTAGCCCTGGGCATCCTTTGGATGCAGTGACCCCAGCACGGAGAGGCAAGGTGCCTAATTGACAGAAAGGAAGTGGGTATGGAGGAATTGACATTGTGTCAGTGGCTGGTCACATGGGAGAGGAATAGCAGGATGTCTTGGGCCTGGAGGATGAAGAGGTGATACCCCAAAAGGAGCAAGGAGAGTCGGGGTAGAAAAGACGTCTTCCCTCCCTGTCCTCCTCCTTCCCTGTGTCCCTGCCTCCCACCGTTTAGGATGACTTGCTGGTAGGGAAAACGCGCCAGAACAGCTTCCTACGGGAGGCTGAGCGGTGAGGCTGGTCCTGACTGGGCGTGGGTTCACCCTAGTGACTCACTAAGGGAGAGAGGTCAGGGTGGGAGGCCAGGGACAGCCTGGGGGTGCAGGGCTCAGAGAGGGCCAGGAGGCCAGAGCTGCATCCTTGGGCAGCACCTCCTGCTGCTGCCTAACCGCACCTGGAACTGGAAACCGGGGACAGAGTTAGGTGTTTCCGAAGTGGGATGGAGTGGGGGGAACCAGACCCAGGGGGATGATGGAGAGTCCTGAGAAGTAGTGGGCACCTTTGCTCCAGGAGAAGTTGGTATCTAGCTCCTGATACCCTCCCTGCAGACAGCGAAACTTGACATCAACCCTTTCCCGATCCTTCCAGGCTACTGTTCAAGTTTGCTTAAATAAATTCCCTTCTCTCCTTCAATAAATGGATCTTCTTTTTCCCCCCTGATGATCTCTTTTTTCCCTTTGATGGCATTTAATTAATTAATCAATTCACATGTGCTAGGGATTGATCACCGGGCTGCGCTTGCTAGGCAGGTGTTCCCCCGATGAGTGGGACCCCAGTCCTGATGGCTTGGGATCCAGTGTTTCTCCTGGTGCAGAGAAGTAGCTTGTGTTTCCCTAGAGATCCCGAGAGTGGTCGAGGAGTCTCCTTTGTCCACAGCGTCTGTTAACACCCATGCTCTTGGTTTGTCCTCAGGTGGCCATAAAAGTCATTGATAAGAAGAGAGCTAAAAAGGACACCTATGTCACCAAAAATCTGCGGCGAGAGGGGCAGATCCAGCAGATGATTCGCCACCCCAACATCACGCAGCTCCTTGATATCTTAGAGACGGAAAACAGCTACTACCTGGTCATGGAGCTGTGCCCAGGCGGCAACCTGATGCACAAGATCTACGAGAAGAAGCGGCTGGAGGAGTCCGAGGCCCGCAGATACATCCGGCAGCTCATCTCTGCAGTGGAACACCTGCACCGGGCTGGGGTGGTCCACAGGTGAGGTCCCTGAGGGGCTGAGATCGCTGAATCTGTGCTGAGTGGACGCTCCAAGAAGTGCTAAGCGACCACATCCTGTTTTGCAATTTTTCTTCCATTGGATTGTTTTATGAGTTGAGTTCATGCCCGGGTGGGGGTTCAAAGAGAGTCCAAAGTCAGAGTACCTTTTCTTGYAGCCTGGCTCTGCCTTTGAAGGGTTGTTTGACCTTGCACAAATTACTGAACGGCTCTGAACTTCAGTCTCTTCATCTGTAAAATGAGAATGATAATACTTCACTTTCCATTGATGTGGTGGTCAGTGAGTTCTTAGGTAGAAAGAGCTTGAATGGTGTTCGGTGCACGGTTAGTACTGTATAAACGTTAGCTGCTGTTCTTGTCATTTATGAGTCATGAGACCAACCGTAGAGGCGCCTGAAAGAAAACTCAGTGATAGATGATTTTTCAGCTAGGGAAAGGGCTTTCCTGGTATTATTTGCTTTCAGATGTAGCTGCTCGATAGTTGTCTTAGTCAACTGAATTGAATCACCAAATCGTGGACTTGCCCTCAAAATCAAGGGGTGTTCCCCATAAATCAAACCAACCTTGCGAATAATTATGAAAATCGAACTTGCCCAGCCACCGTGTTCCCTCTGGGAGGAGGCTTCCAAGAAAGCAAATGAAAATGATCTTGTGCTGCTGGTGGTGGGTGCTTACGTTTAGTACGACAATAAAATAAATTTTAAAAAGTTAAAAAAGTTTCTTAGAAACTGTTGGCTCCACCCATAAATGCACAGTTCTTTCTTCATGGAATTAAAATCAATAATTACAATGATAATTGTAATTATTGAGAAAAAAATCAATAATTACAGATAAAAATAAAAAATCATGTTTAATTAATTCTCATTTAAAAAGTCAGCTGATGGCATGAAGTATGCATGCACACACATATTTGAATATTTTTAAATGGAGATACAACTCACATCCTCTAAGATCCACTTTATGAAAGTGTCTAATCCAACGTTTTTAGTGTATCCGGAGTTATTCAATCATTACCACAGTCTAATTTGGGAATAATTTTATTACCCCCACAAAGAAACCCTGTTCCCATTAGACACTCCCCATGCTTCCTTGTGCCATTCCTTGGCAACCATTAGTTGACTTTATGTCTCTATGGATCGGCCTATTCTGGATTTTTCATATAAATGGAATCATATGGTCTTTTGTGATTAAGGTCTTTTGCTTAGCATGATGGTTTTCAGATTCTGTCATATCAAGTATCAGTACTTCCTTCCTTTTTATGGCTGAATAACATTCCACCGCATGGATATACCACAGTTTGTGAATCTCTTCATCAACTGATGGACATTTGGGTCATTCCAGTGTTTTTGGCTGTTATGAATCGTGCTTAGATGACTATTTATGGACAAGTTTTTGGGTGAACACATGTTTTCACTTCTCTTGTTTCTTTTGGAGAATTACATGCTTAGGGTGGAATTGCTGGGCCATACAACAACTCTCAGTTTTGCCTTTTGAGGAAACATGTATTTTTTAAAAAGTGCACATCTAAGCCGGGCATGGTGGCGCACTCCTATAATCCCAGCGCCTCAGGAGGCTGAGGCAGGAGGATCACGAATTCAAAGCCAGCCTCCGCACTGGTGAGGCACTAAGCAACTCAGTGAGACCTTGTCTCTAAATAAAATACAAAATAGGGCTGGGGATGTGGCTCAGTGTTTGAGTGCCCCTGAGTTCGATCCCCAGTACCAAAAAAAAAAATTGAACATCTAATGGTACCTTCTCTCTGTCCAAAAGTCATTCATTTTCTGATCAGTGAGGAAAGCAGCTAGAGGCCTTTATTTAAAAGAGCTCTCTGTAGGAGCTCTGTAGGAGCTTTGCAGATGGAGAGGGCTGTCTCCTCCTTGGGAGCCCTGGGGAGTCTAAACCCAGGGGCGCTGTGGGATATCCATTGCTCGGGGCTTTCCCAGAGCCAGCCCTAGCCGGGCACTGTTCCCATTAGTCACTTCCTCCTCACTGAGGTGCGAGACCCTCTTCACAGGCATATTCTTAGTCTCCCAGGCTGTCATGCTATCATCATGCTTTATTACAAGTCTTTGTGTTTCCATCAGCGAGGCAGGGAACACTCAGAAACTGGAGGTGAAGAACACTATTTTTGGCTCTTCCCCACAATACCCTCTTGTGGCCTGTGGTGTCACGGCTCTGCCATTATCAGGAAAATGATGGTCGTGAGGGTGCCTGGCACTGTCTTTGTTTATTAAGATGACAAAGCCAGAAACCTCATGAATGAATCAGCCTGGAATATTGACTCTGTGGGTCACAGCAGAAAATAGAAGTGGGTGGAGCCGGGGGGGCAAGTGGCAGAGCTTTCGGTGGGACTTGGGGGGTGTTTTTCCAAGGGTTCTGTGCTGTCAAAAATAAGATGAGAGAGGAGTTTCTCAGGATGTTGAGGACAGCAAAGCAAAACCAGGTGAAAGCCGGCATTGCACTCTGGTTTTCTCCCGCAGGAAATTCTCAACAACCCTTTTAAAGTAATTTTAACAAAATCCAATCCTTCTCAGTGCAATTACTGTCAGAATGTCAAAGGAATGAATTTAATAATGTTTTGATAGCAAAGACAGGACGCTTTTTCTTTCATCTCCAGCTTCTCCTTCTTACTCTCTCTCCTTGGAAATATATTCATAATCCAATAATGGCGAGGGCTCAGATCTTTCAAAGTTAGAAGAGATTRGAATCTAGATAAATATAGATTTAGGAGGATTTCTTTGCTTTTCTCTGTAGAAATCATGTTAATGTGTGTCTAGCACCTGGACATAGGTGATCAGGTAGCTGAGACATTGCATTAAAATGTTTTCATTGGATACATTCATGGGTAGCTTCATCTGAAGATCTTGACTAGCGGAGATTGTGATTTGGCTGGCTGCTGGTTTTTTTTTTTTTTTTTTTTTTTTTTTTTTTTACTGTAGCCTTCTCCAGTGATGGGGGAATTTTCTTTGTGCTGCAGAGGAGGAATGAATTTCATAAATTATTTTGAGGTTAGATTTTTTTTCAAATGAATAAGAGAGCCTAGCATTTCAGAGAAACCCTGGAGTCCCTGGTGCGAAAATTTCTGAGCAAATAGATTGGATTATTCAAAAGGAGCTAGAATGATTTTTTTGTTTTATTTTTTTGTTTTTCCAGCRGCAGGGATGGAACCCAGGGCCTTGTGCATGCTAGGCAAATGCTCTCCAACCAAGCCACATCCCTAATCCCTTGGAATGAGTTTTTTTCTGGCTACGTACATGCAGTCACGTAAAGGGCTTTTGGTTCTGAGTGTTAGAGGATGCTTTAAAACTCAGTTCTTGATGAGGCTGATACTGTGTGTGCTGTTAGGTCCTAATCAGCCTAATACTGGCAGAGCCCTCATTTCTTCTGACATTAAATCTAAATATTTAATTATCTACCCAGAAGTTCTCAATATCRTTTAAAAGAAGCACATCTTTAAAAGTCACGTGAATATTACAGGTAGACTTGGAAACAAGGAAACTAAGCCATGTAAAGCAGATTCCCAGCTTTACAGGAACCTGGACTTGTCTGGAGCCTGCATCTTTTGCTTCCGTGGGGCTCTTAGGAACTTTCACAGGAGCAGAGGTCTAACTTCATGACTCTAGTTTCAGGACTGCCCGAGATACTACAGATTTACAATATAAAGAGTTTGTTTATTTTTTTTTCCTTCCCATCCAGTGTGCTCTCCCGGCAGGATGCCCAGATCTGATGATTTGCCSATTGTATACAGAGAGTTGACTCTTACCATGAATCAATAAGACCCGCTGATTCTGCTAAGAGCTAATTTGAGATTCATCTGTTCATTCCAAACGACAAAGTCCAATCAAACTGTACAGACAAAACATTGCAGGGTAATACAATATCCTTGTCCCTCAGCAGGAAGAGACAAGCCAGGGCGCCTCCGGACTAGGAGAAAGGGACCTCTGATCAAAGGGAGCCGGTGACTTGCTTGGATGTGTGTCAGCGCCACCGTCCCCCAGGGCTGTGACCCCACTCATTCATCAATGTTGGAAAAAGGTCCCCACACTTGGGAGGACAAGGAGCGGGCATAACCTGTGCCCGGAGGGGATTAAGAAGTTCTTTTAACTTTTAGGAGCCTCCCCCACTCCCCACAAAGGGAGGGTTGGGGAAGGCAGACGAGAGGGGAATAGTTTCTGTTCACACCCAGGAGCTGCTTGGGATCTTAGGCCTTCTGCTAAGAGCAAGCACGTATGGTATCTGGAGGTGCTGGTTCTCGAGCCCAGACTCTGCAAGGGTGGGGTTCGCTGTAATATTATTGATCCAGCTCCTGCTGTGCGTCCTGGGTGCTCCCAGGACCCACAGTCGTCCTCTGCTTCTGCCCACCTGGTCATCTTTGTGGGTTGAATTCTGCTTGTCTTCCAGGTTCCAGCTCCAAGCTCACCTTCTCCAGGAAGCCCTCCAGGCTGGGCCCTGGCCATGTGCCCCCAGGGCACCCTCCCCTTGCCTTCTGAATATCTCTCCTTGGTGATACTAACCTGGTTGTTGTCTCCTGCCCATTGTTTAGCCCAGGGCCAAGGTCAGTGGGCATTGGTAAGACTTTGTGAAATGAAGGAAGGAAAATCGAATCAATACAGCCAGTGTCGGAGTTGGTACAGGGATGGAGGCTTTCTGGTAGGCAGACCCAGGTTCTTTCCGGAATATTCCGTATTCTCCTTGGAATTTCAAGGGAGTTTCTTCACTGACTTAGTGCCAATTTTTTTTTGTTTTTCAAGTCACAGTCTATAGAGCGGCATCTCTTTAGTGACTTGCACTTTGATTTTATAAACAGAACTTGTTTCTAGAACACTTTAGGAACCAAATAGAGGTTTTGCTTTGAATAAATAAACCAGGTCCATGCTTAACAAATTATTCTTGTGTTTTACCAACACAAGAATTTACCATATTGTAAACAAATAAAAGATTTACAAATCACTTGGTTGTAATACAGTGCTTTTGAAGATAAG